CATATGGCTCCACTATAAAAATTTGCATATGCCAAACTGTTTCAATTTCTACCACACATTGCCTACTGGAGTTTCTTGCTTTTCCATTGCTTTCAACCTATAATGGACTGTTCATCAAATCTGAAACAGCATTCAAATATTGTTAATGTAGTTCTAGGACTTTATAAGAAAAACACAGCAAAAGTATCTGTTTCTGGAAATATCTGCATCTAGCAAAAAGGAAAATGACAAAAAGATTAAGATGATAGAGGCTGTATTGATTATACATGGTAAAATTAAAGTCTTAATATAATTAATATAGTTGTGGTTTCCATAGAGTGTGCTGGCAGCTATGAACTCTTGTAGGCATCATTGGTATCATGATGAGGGCCAGGAAGGCTGATTTTAAATCATTTCAAGCATCCAAGTACTCATGGAATAGTACTTCAGTTCTAGAAAGCCAGAGGCAATTATTGTAATAATTTTGAATATTTTTATCACATTAAAATGACCAAATTGACAAGGCTGTCATTTAAGTTTAAATGAAGTGGGTGTTATTTTCCCTTTATTTTTGATGTTTCTCCAGTAGGAAAGTATAAATGATCTTAGAAGGGAAAGAGATAACCGTTTTCTCTATAATTTTTGTTCTCTTTTAGCAGGGCGTTATGTAAGCTTTGAATAAAATTAGCTTAGTTCAAATTCTGGTTCCATAATTTAGTGCTTTCTCATATCTGACACTCCATGGATCTTCTACAGACCAACTTTCTTATAGGAACAATGAGTAGGATGACACTTTTTTTGTAATGATACAGTTAGGATTAAATGCTTAACATATTCAAGAGGATTAAAGCAAGCACTACAAGTATATATTATTGTTATTCATTTCGTGGCTATTTATAAGCAATCATTGCCTTTAGCAAGGTCATTAGTGTTTGTATAGAAAAAGGTTTACAAATGCTTCCCCTCTATCAAGATGAGCTAGAAGAGCAATGTCACTCATTTATGGGTTAAATCAGTTACAGAGCCTTATTTAATAAACAAAGTGGCTCTAGAAAACACAAATTTTTCCTTGTTTTGACTAGCACTCAAGAAAGAACAAGTAGTTGATATTATATTGTTCATCACAAAAAATTGTTAAAACTCTTTTTGACATATTGTTCTGAAACAATTTAAAAATAAAAGTTTTTTTTTTTAAAGAAACCACCCTGACTTCCTTTAAAAATGAAATCACATTGAGGTATCTCTTCCACTTTAATAACTTGTAAGAACTGAAGAAGTATGTTTCCAATTCCTCCTTAACTTTTGGTCATGATATGATTACATCATTTAATTTTTCAAAAGTAAGAAACAACAAAACAAAATAAAAACAAACATAAAAAGGTGGAAACTATCAATATAATATAGCTTTTTTATATAAAATTATTTCCTTAGACATAAATGATGGATAAATCCTTCTGCAATCTGGTCAGCCTTAGTTTTTTAAACAGTTAATTAGAGATACAAGTGGTATTCACAGAACAATTATTGCACTAAGAACTTTCTTACTGAGTGAACTACATTTAGAAATCAAGAGAATGACAGTGTCTGGGAAGAGTAGCCAGAAAACCAGGGAAAGTAGCCAGAAGCTTCATGGATCTAAACAAATTACAAGGTACAAGAGCCAGTGTGAGGTAGACTCATACGTCCAAGTTCAAAAGTCAAACTCTTCCCTTAAAAAGTATATCACTGGACACTAGTAATTTTCTTGAATATCAATTTGATAATTTGGAGACACAAAGATTAACTTCATTCATTTAGATGTAGTTGAAGAAATTAAATGAATTCCTAAGTAAACATTTTTAGATACCTAGAAAATATTAAGGAAAACTTAGTAAATCATATTCTATAACTTTCCTGAGTTTATAGATCATCAATTACATTTATTAAAAATTCATGTATTGCATAAATATACTGAGAGTACAATACAGTATAACTTTTATTTGTTTGGTTACTGTTGATAAAATAGTTAATATGCATTTAGCCCATGATACTGTGATAGACCCTTAGAGAAATATACAGTGTTGAACAAATTAGTTCTAGTTTGATATTAGTTAAGAAAGGTTACATTCACAGCTGTAGTATAGAGCTGCACTAAATTGTTTTACAATTAATGCATGTTCAACACAGCATTTAGAAGAGGTAGAAAAAAAATTGATGTTTTCTAATATTCATTTGTAGTTCAATTATGGTTACACAATCATCTTATCAATAAGTCAAAAAAGTTTGTAAAAATAAGTGAGAGAATGACCAGATATACAGATTGAAAATAAGAACAAAAAGTATATTTAAGTTTAGGAAGTAGGAACTGGAGAGATGAGAGCATTCATTGATAAACTGAGATAATAATGGCATTGATTCCCAAAATTCTTACGATAGCATATCAATAATCTATAAAATAATATGCTTATAATGATAGCAAAAGAAAATGGACTTTAATAATAAACTTTAAGATAATATTTATTGATCTTCAAAAAGTAACTGACAGTTGGTTTTGAATCATCAAAGTATATGATATATGAGTGTTAAAGTTCTATATTACAAATATATTTGCAAAAGTATTTATTAGCCATATAGTGATTATTCCACCAATATCAAGTCTTGGAAGTAAATACTTTTCACATATTACTCCACTTCATCTGCAATTCTGAACTCAATGCACGTGAGAACATATGTGTTATAACTATACAGTGTGCACAATAACTATGCATATGGAAATTAAAGGCATGAGTTCTAGTTTCAGTTTCAATTCTTAACTAATTCTTTGGTCTTCGATAAGTTCGTTTTCTTTGTATACATCCTATTTCTAAGTTGATCATGTGACTATGCATGCTTGGTTAAGCTGACATAAAGGTTAAATTGAGGTAATGTATGCATATGTTTATCAAAGTGAGTTGCACAAAGTAAGCAATTTAACATTTTTATTCTTAGACCAAAACTCAGAAAGCAGATTGGCAAAAAAAGTAATATGTTTCTACAAGCTTCATTTCATGAATCACCATAAAATTGATGTGTTCTTTGAATGTCTGATGTTGTGTATGGTTGTTTATAAAGTGCATTTTGAAGTAATTTTGGTTGTTGCTTCACTCATTTTAGTTTTAGGTAGCCAATACAGCAATAATACATTACTTACTTTGAAGGACTCACAGAACTAGTCTATGTGTCTCAGCTAATTTGATTCCAACAAAGACTTAAGCTCTTCCCAGAATATACTTTCAGCAACGAATGCTAATTTCATAACCTCCCTATTCTCACACACAAATTTTTAGTTTTTTTTTCTTGTCATTGCACTTAGTATTAATTCCTGAGTATGTGTTCTGCCCCGTGGAAATAAACGATCTTTTGGCAATTATGTCAGAGCACCAATCTAAATGACTTCTGAAGAATAGTGTCAGCAAATGACTTTCCGGTTAAGTGTTTTATTAATTTTAGGGGGAGTAGGGTCAGATCGACTTTCTATTTTATTTTGTGTCCCAACTTTGTTTCCTTCCCTCTCTCTCCTCCAAGTGCCTCCTCCTACCTCCTCTCTTGCTCCCCACCCATCCCTTCTCTTGCATTTTCTCTTCAAAAAGGGTAAGCCTCACATGGATACCAACCAGTCATGGTGTATCAAGTTGCAGTAAGACTAGGTACCACCTTTTCTGTTAAAGCTAGACAAGGAAATCCAGTAGGAGAAGGGGTCTCAAATGTAGACAACAGAGCTGGATGTCAGCCTTCTGTCATATGTGAGAGTGCCAAACATCTTTTCCCATTCTATAGGCTGCCATTTTGTCCCTTTGATGGTGCTCTCTGCTGTACAGAAGCTTTTCGGTGTTTTATTATATTAAAGGCCACATGACAGTGGATATGTACCTAACTCCCTCTTCTAGTGACTGCAAGAAAAAAGTGGGCTAGAAGGAGAAATGAAAAGCAGTGTAAAACTAGATAAACATTCTTCACTTCTATAGTCTATATACTTTCCTCAATTATAATAATGCAACAAACATAGGGTCAGATTAACAAATATTGAATAAAACTGTCCACTTCCTAAATTCTGAAGTAATTTTATATTGGATATTTTCTTTATTACATTTCAAATGTTATCCCCTATCCTGGTTCCCAACTCTGAAAACCGCTATCCAATCCCTTTTCCTGTGCTTCTATGAGTGTGTTCCCACACCCTGCACCCACCCACCCACCCACTCTGACCTCTCTGCCCTCGAATTCCCCTACACTGGGGCCTTGAGCCTTCAAAGGACCAAGGGCCTCTCCTCACATTTGTAAACTTGCACCAGCTGAAATAAAACACAAGTTTTTCAAGATTGTTCCCATTCCAAGCTAAAGTTATTGAGTTCTAACATGAAAAAACATTTGTCAAAGACAGTAACAGAGTTTGAGTCAAGCTTGTCTGGAAGAACTAGCAGTTTCTCCTTTTTTCTATATTCTTCCTTTCCTGCTCAGAATCCTCTTTTCCTTCGGAAATTTTCCTGAAAAAGTAATGTTTCCTGAGGCCTAGTTTGATCAGCAATTGGCCCAATGAATAGACAAACTCCTGAAATACTTTGAGAATGGGAGTTGTTTGTTTCCTGAAAAGTTTCATCAAAACTGCTTTTAGTTATTGAAAGATACATACCTAGGGAAGTGTTGCTAACTTAGTCTTCTGCTAATTCTCTCAGTTGTGTTGTTTCTAAGACTGGGAGTTGTATCTGTATCCCAAACTATGCAGCAAAGAAGTCAGTATTACTTAGATTTGTCACAATGAACCAAACAAATAAACAAACAATGCCCTTTGTAAACCAAAAATATCAACTAGCAGAATAAACCTCACATCATCGCCCAGGAAAGACTTTAGATTTTTGTTCCTCTTTCCTGTTTTCCAGAGCTGCTTTTGCTAACTTTCTTTCTCTACTCACATTTCCCAATACATCTTTGGAGTTGTATTGAACCAGTAACCTTGCTTTGCTTTTCATGCAGAGTTTTGTTACTTTCATACTGGGAGAACGAAGACTTTTGTAGTATAAAGATTTATCACAGGGGTGAGGGAGGAAAGGATAGGTACCTGGAAAAGGAAAAGGGGAGTGAGGGACATAGAAGGACAGAAAGAGAGAGAAAGTAACACTTGGGAACAGAGGGAGAAAGAGAGGGGGGAAGGAGGGTGGGAGGGAGAGAGGGAGGGAGGGAGGGAGGGAGGGAGGGAGAGAAAGCACAACAGCATTTATTTGGGTGTTTTCTAGTATCTTGATTTCTTCCATTTGTCATGAAAAACTGTCTTTTGGGTTGAGATAAACTTGAATCCTCCATCCACACTGTCAGTCACAACTTTACTTAGGAAAAATAATATACTATTTCAGTCTTTTCATCTATGATCTGTCATTCATATTAATATTTAAAGATAAACTTCTCCCACTAATAGTTTGGAGTCAGGTACAAAGAGGAGAGAGACAGAAAAAGAGAGAATGAGAGACAGAAAAGAAGGGTGGGAGGGAGGGAGGGAGGGAGGGGGGGAAGGGATCTTCCATTGGCACATAGCACTGTTTCCACTGTTACTGCTTTGTCTTTTTTACTAATCAAATGATACATTGAATTACTGAATTTCTACTTCTGTGTACTTCAGACTTAACCCAGCATCTATCTTAACAACATTCACCAGCCTCACCAAAAATCCCTTGGTAGCTAATTCTAAGGGCTCATGTCATTATTCATACTGCTTTACGGAACGTTATTAAACAGTGCCTTGATTGCTAATAATTTTTATCCGAAGGAAAGAGATGGTGACATGGGAACTCCTAGGGAGAGGATGTAGGAAAAAGCAGTTTGAAAAAACAAAAGTGTGGAGTGGAGAAAGAAAACATCAGAGTAATCCTGTGCTGATAATTTAGGCTTCATTGTACAAATCTTCTTGCTAATTCTCTATCTAGACTGGCCTCATCCATTGCCACCCATATATAATAATATATGTGATATGATACAATGTATAAATTTATATAATATATATTTATATATTGCATTTATAATATATAAATATTTGATATATATTTATAGTATCCTTTAAACATTACTGTTAACAGAGGTTTTGAACAAAAGCCTGACACCAATAATTCCAACAAATCTTGGTCACTTGATCTTGGTCACTTGTCTCAACCTGTTGAGTAAAGAAAAGAGGAATGATGAAATACAAAGAGAGGGTGTTTAGTCAATGTACATCGGAAAGAGGAACAATAACCCCAGCATTGTCATTTTCATTTACGGAAGAAGTAATTGGATGCAGGAGTGGAAGGGATATGTACAATTGAGTCATGGACTTCTTGATTCTTACTCAGTTCTGTTTCTGCAAATTAGTCCTCCTGAATTTAGTAGAGCTCCCCCATCACTTGAGTGGAAGGACATGATTGACATCCAGACCTGGTCTGTACCATGAATCTCTATTGCTTCTGGAATCCAAAAGGACTATAGGTTGAAGACAACAACTGAAGTACTTTAGAGGTTTGGAGATGTGAAATTGTATAATACTGACAGGGAAACACCTACTACAGTATTTTTTTTTTTACTTTATTCTTTAAGTGGAAAAAGTAAGTTAAGATGTCTTTCCAATTTCTAGAGAGATCGCCCTTAAGTCATTGACATACCTGCATGTAATCTTAGTATATTACCACAGAGAAGTTGATAGACATATAAGGAGCACAGAGATGTCAGGCTTTCCTCCTGCTTTGGTTACCTGTACTCCCAAGTGAGGAGTCAACACTTTCAAATAAATGCAAAGTCTAAGTACGTCTTACTTAAAATAGATAGATAGATAGATAGATAGATAGATAGATAGATAGATAGATAGACAAACACATACACACAAACACACACACACACACACACACACACACATATATATATATACACACAGATGCATAGTATATCTCTGTGTGTGTGTGTATGCATGTGCATGTGCGTGTGCGTGTGCGTGTCTGTGTCTGCGTCTGTGTCTGCGTCTGTGTCTGTGTGTCTGTGTGTTTGGGGGGACCTGAGCAATTACCACTTCATGTACTAATCTCTCCCTAGGCATCTCTCTCTCTTTACTCCTCATGACTTCAGTTTTTAGGTGTAAGTTATCTCATAAATTATTACTTGTTATTGACATTTCTTTCCTAAGAGCATATCTACAAAGGAACCCAAATTCTAAATCTGGATAACTTAAACTTTAGATGTCTGAATTAAATTTATCACCCAATTCCACCCCCTAAGTTCATTCTATATCCCTTATCAGAATGAAGGGCACTGCCATTTATCAAAGGTCAAGGTCTAATCATCCCAATTGGGCACTAAGTATCATTTTAAGCTCAATCAATTACTAAGTAGCTCTTCCATCTGTGACTCTTTTCCTTCTCTTCATACCTCTTTAGCACCCATATCACACTATCCAGTTAGGACCAGTTTAAGCACTTGACTTGAATTTTAAAAGGGATGCTTCACCTTGGTATTCTAGCCTTCCAAAGTCTACAAGTCCATCCTTAAAGAGTACAGAGTTAGTTGTGAGTGACACTGAAAAATAGTTAGCATCTACCATCAAGCTTTTCTGCTATTAGAATGAGGTACAATTCTCCAGTATAGCTTAATCAAACAGTACTAGATGTGAAGTCAGGCGTGGCTGCTTATCACGTCCCTGACAAAGCTCTGGCTTCAACCACCTTGCATTTCATAAAATTTCCTGAGAAATCTTAATCTTTTTATTTGTTTTGTTTTCTAAATCTTTGCATCTATTTTTTCTTCAGTCTTTCCTGAATAACATGACTTTCCTCAACTTTTTTGAATAACTCTTCTTGACTTCATGCTTCCTAAAGTTGGTCTTAGCTTGTAAATTTTGCTCTACAATTACAAAATTATTAAATTTTTATATTCAGTATGTATTTATATATTTAGCAATCGTTAATATGTACATTTTTAGAACTGGCAGATGGCCTGAATTGTAGTTCCTTAGAAGATCTATGCATGCCTGCAGTCTTCATGTTAGTTTATTTGGTAAATGATATTGACAGATATGATTAACTACATGAAGTGGAGAGGCAGACAGAAGGAGATGCAACGTGAAGAAAGAGGCAGGAAGGAGGTTATCTATCCCTCTGTCAAATGCATATAAAGGAGAAGACAGTCTGAGAGCTGAGAAACTGATTGAACTAATATTGTCACAAGCCAAGGGACACAGTGAGTGCCAATAGTCACGAAACCAAGAGACCACATTAGGATTGTTCTTGTAGCTGTTGGCAATATGCAGCCCTACATCATTTGAATTTCGGATTTCGGGCCTCAGAAATAAATTTTTCTTTGAGACTGCAGGATATTATGTACTCTTTGTCACAGCCTCGGGAACCTAATATGTTAAAAATTATCTACATTTCTACATTTTGTTTTTTCCTAGCATTATCTAACCAAAACTAAGCACTTGCAAAATATTTTCTGAATATTTCTGAATATTGCTGATGAAGCAACTGCTTTTCATATATTGAGAAAGGTTAAACTGAGTTGCATGTATGAATAAACTATAACCTAAAGTGAAGTTTAAATACATGTGGGTACTACTAAATAAATAAGAATATAAGAAAGCATACTACTGTCATTAGCTTGTAATGAATCAATGTTCTGTGAGTTACATTTTACTGTCAATGTTATTCAGTTTAATTAATCTCTTACATCAAGATATGATTGATATCAAAATTGAAAATCACATAGAGATAATACCTACCCTATACACATCTGGGTATGCTGTAGACAATATGATTTAACTTATTCAAACACTGGAGTCATATTTAAATAAGCTACTCATATGTTGTCTTAATACAGCCATTGAATGAACTCTTTGTAGTTATGGCAACGTCAATAGTATGTATAAGAAATGACATAACTCTGCATTTAAAAAGAAACAATAGAAATTCAGGAAAGGCGTATTTCTTATTAAACTTTACTAATTACAAAAGGAACATGTAGTTGATTTCATTAATATAGCCTACATGGGAAAACTAAATAGCATGCACCATTTTTAAGAAGATGTTATTTTGTAAGTTAGATTGTTATATATCAAGGGATTTATTTTAATTTGAGTACTGTCAAACATTAAGTATTTTATTAGTTTGATACTCCAGTGTGATTCCTCCTAGGGACAGTTCCTTTCTTTTTGAAAGTCTCCCTTGACTTTTCTGGGTTCAGTGTAATTAATGATGGTATAGTACAAACGCGGAAGCCCGGGGAACGGAATAAATTCAAGGGCAAAACTTATGAAAGAGATTAGAACGAAATTACCGGAGCTAGAAAAGATATGTCAAGTTTTATTTGGTAGCGATATATTAAACATAGTGTCTCGAGGGGATGTGTCTTACTGTTCCGGTAATTAAATAGCATTGTGTTTGATGCATGGACTCTACAATATACTTCAGAAAGAGTATTAACTATGTCTCTCCTCTTTGAGGAGTAGTCTGGTCAGCTTTGAATGTCTGAACTTTTTATTTTGACATTCCTAACTCTCAACTACCTAACTTTGAACTTCTTTCATTTTGACTGTTTCAGGGTTCACCTCAATAGTGTATTCAAATGATCTTTAATATTTATTATCTCTATTCCATTTCTAAAGCTCCGGGAAAATGAAGACATTTGTTGAAAATCATAGCTTTTCCTTCATATTATTGGGACAATGGCACCACAAGCAAAAGTATCATGTGACAATTCTTATACTTAGGAAAATGTGATCTATGACATGACTCCACATCACAAGATTTGTGAAAATATAATATACCTGAAAGGACTGAGCTGTGTCAATCAGTATGTGAAAGTATGTGCACACATTTTAAGCCAACTCTCTCTCTTGAATACTTAAAATTTATTGTCTGAATTGTTATACTTTGTTTTTTATGAGTGCTGTTGCTCCATATACTTTAATTTCATATATCTTTATTTTCAGACGTATTCTGCCACTGCGGTGAGTTAATAATATATTGAATCAGAATGATTGCTTACTGAATCGGAATGGTTTATT